TTATATTTATACATTTAAATTTGTTTATTTTTTATGAATATATTTTCTTGCTAATACAGATCATCATTCTTTATTTAAAAATGTTTTAAATTTTTTTTCATACATTTAATTTTTTAAATATGAAAACACATCTAATTTTACAATTTCTTTATTCTTAATTTTGATTCAAAGTGAATTAGGCTTACTCAATGATTCAGTAACATATTTGTGAAATTTTGAAATATACATGTAAATGTTTTGCCAAAATGCTTTCTTCAAAAATTAAGTCCTTTTCTTATAATTTTCAAGTGAAAAATTACTCCACATATGTGGGTTGTTCATATTGTTTATCACTTCTACTTTTCATCATATTTCACTTGTCCTTTTATTTTCTCTATATGTATTTAACAATTTCCTATGGTTTTATATACATGTAATAATTAGCGTGTTTTTTTATTATTTTTACACAATTTTCACATTTTACTATAGATTCCATTGTTCATTTTAACTTATGAAATTTTTTTTTATGAAGGAAAAAATATCAGGTCCAGATATTTATTATTCCTTTTAATTTTGTTATTAACATATGTTATAGATGGTAGACATTGCAAGTATATATTCAATAATAATTAAAATTTATTTATAAAAATCTTGAAAATAATCTATTGAAGAAATTACTATTATAATATTCATTAAAAATATATATAATAGTAATAACATCCATGATTTAATTTCTCTTATACAGAAACCGCAATATAGATAAAATATATTCCACACATATTTATAATAACAATAGTATGCATATTTACAACATACATTTTAACCTTTAATGATATATTATTAGACAAACATACTATCTCTATATTTAATGTACACAAGTGAATATATAATAAAATCTATGATACATATTTTTGGAATAAGAATATAACAGAAAAAAAATAAATTACTACATAACAAAATATATCATTATTATATATATATTAAGTATAATCCATAGTAATTCTTAAAATATGTACATTCTGTATAAAGCTATATGCATTCATAGATTAAATTATAAAAATAAAATGAAATAACTAATAGGGATAATTTATTCCAGCAAATATATATTTTACCTTTAAAATATTTCTACTTCTTTCTGCTCATTAGATTTATAAAACATCACATGTACTAAATTGGATATAATCCATCCTATAGGATTCATGTTTTTTCAATCCATTGTGCAAAGTTTCTCTTTCAGTGTAATAACGTATACTAATTTCATTATGCCTCCAATTTTTACGCACTCCGACTGTGGAGGTATATAATAATGTAGAATATTATTTAAAATTAAAATTTATCATTTTTAATAATTAACATTGAACTCATTAGCAAAATCATATATTTAAAAAATAATTTATTTATGACAAAATCTAATGCTACCTAAACCTGATCTCTGAATTAAATTAATATTACAATGTATTTTTTTTCATATTTTGTCATTAATTTTAAATATTTTTGCTCCTATAATTATTTATTTCAGCATTTTAATTTTCTACACAATAGTATTTTTAATAATTTATTATATTATTAAAATAAAAAAGATGAGTTATTAATTGTTATTATACCTTTTTTAGGGGTAGTATAAAGTGTTATATATTATTTTTGAATTTTTATCCATTAATTCTTCATAATCATTTTCAAATTGATTTAATAATTTTAAATTTTGTTTACTTTTATTCTTCCAAAATTTTTTTAACTTCCTTATCATTTTTTCTATATATAAGCGACAAGATGTGTTCTGTTTATAAAGAAGCATCATGTATTTATTATCTACACATTAATTTTGGATATATAATATTAAAATAATGTGTAATACAATTTTTAATATAATGTACAATATATAGATATAATTTATTATTAACCTTAAACAGAATAAACGGAATAAAACTTGTTGTAAGAGTAATAATACATACAATTAAAATCACTTTTGGTGCACTTATTATAGAGGATGATTGTGACTTATTTGGGACATTTATCGTTTCAGGTTCTATCGGAATATATTGTTTGTATTCATCTTTAACATTTTCCATAACTTCATGTAGATTGTTATCATTCATTTCTTTACACTTTCTTAAGAAATCTTTATACTTTGTAAAGCAAGGGGTATTGAATTCGCATGTTATACCATTTGTTTTTAATTTTTGAAGATCCTTATAAAGGGAACTCAGATCATCCAATAATTTGAATACCTTTTCTTCAAGATCATTTACATAAGACACACATATATTCATGCCATTCTTTCCATCTCCTTCGAATATCCCTATCATTTTATTATAACAGTGTCTTTCTCCAGAACAAGATGATCCTGGATGATTATATAGTAAATATTTTAGCAGGTAATTGAAATACTTACAATATGGTTCTATTTCAATCTCTCTTTTTTTATTTATATCTAGCAAGTAGTTACTAAAGACAACACAATCTAATATAAAATCATCAGTATTAATATTTAATGTTTTTTTAATTTTATAGCACGAAACAAAAAAATCATCTTCATTATACTTGTCATCATCCTTTTCTTTTTCAATATCACTATAAGCCTTTATACAATTAGGAAATATATCCTTAAAATCGAACTAAAGAAAAATATTATTATGTATTAGTAAATTTATAGTAATGTATTAAAGAAAAATATTATGCTTATCTTCATAGAAAACGTGTTTTTAGATGATATAAAATAACAAATATATTAATTAATACAAATAGAAGCATACATTTGGACTCTTATGGGTGGGATTATCCATTATATCATATGTAAATGAATTTCTATAAAGAATATTTTCTTTTATTTAATATATATATTGGGGGGTTAATAATATATTAATAATTGTTATATTTACGCCATATTTATTAAATCATATATTTTCTCTTGTTTTACAAAACTTTTTTAATTCATATTTTTAAAATTTTTTACATGTATATTAATGTATGTAAGGTCATTATACTGGAGTGTTGAGCACTTCAGTTTACATAAATAGATAATATGAAACATTTATTTGGGATATTAAAACATTATAATAACTTCAATAACAAACAATATTTTTGTATTATTATTGGGTTCATGGTTTAGGGTTACGGTTTAGGCTTCAGATTTAGATGGTTATGTTTTTGTATTCAGCGTTTATATTTAGGGTTCAGGCTATATGATTTAGTTTCTTACTTTTCTTGGTTTACTCTTAGTTTTAAGGTAATAATTTATTATTGAAGTTTTTTTTATTTTTTTTAATTTTTTAAATTTATATTTAGAGTTCTGTCTTCTTTGTATTATTATTTTGTGACTTATTTTTTATGTTTATCAATTTTTTTGTCGTATGAGTAAATATATATAATTTTTTATTCCGTCTAATATCGGAGTGCTATTTTCTCTTTATTTAAGAGATTTTATAAAATGCAAATATAATTTTATTTTTATCATGAATATTATTTTGTTTTTTTTCATATATTTATTGTTTATAATTTATATAACATGTTTAAAATATGAGAAAACCCTCTTTCCTTTAATCAATGTAATATGCAAGACGTTATACATATATTATTTGTTGAATTGGATTTTATTAATAATATACGTACATATATTAATTATTTCTATTTTTATATATAATTAAATGATGCATTACGATTACATATTCTCTCATTATATTTAATAGCTCTTAAGTATGTATTAATTTTTTTTTATTTTTAGTATTTTTTTCAATTCATATTGATGTAGTATTCTAGTATATTATCATCATTTTATTCTTGTTTCTAGGATTCATACGATATATATTTTAAAAATAAATTATATGTTAATGTCTTGTAGTAGATATGATACTGAATATATTGGAATATATATTCAAAATATGATGTTATATTTACTATTTTTAATAGACATAATACAAATTATTAAAATATTTACATATTATTTTGTTTATAGAGTAATATAAATATTTATGATTTAATATTTACATTTGATGATGATTTATTTAAATATATATGGACAATATTTTTTTTTGTCAGGTAAATCATTAGAATTCTTTATAAAATAACATTGATTTATAATAATGAATTTCAATAGAATTTTATTTTTGAAAAACATTCTTTAATTATACAGAAAATACGTAAAATATATTTTTATAAAAAATGGATAATTTCTTTATTGATAATACACTTAATGTACTTTATATTAAAAATAAATTTAAAATATAATTTAACGAGTATATTTGTATGTTCAGTAAAAAATATTGACGTACCTTATTATATTAATGCTTAAATGGCGTCACACATATTTCATATATACTAAAGCTTGGGTGAATATTATATTGTTTTTAAAATTAAAGATTTTTACGAAAAGTATATATATTTTATTTATTTTTTTATATACATGAACACATCCAATATATTTATTAAAGAAATTTAACGAATAGAGAAAATGAAGCGTATAAAATATTTTTATAAGACTTCAAAAAATAAAATTCCTTAAAATACAATTATGTTCTGAGAAGTATTTGTTTTAGCTTACATTTTTCTTATAAAGTGAATATGTACATATGTTCTATGTGCTATCATATTATCTTTTTTAAAATAAATAATAATATACATTATATATGTCTCATATAAAATAACACAAAAATTTATAAATATTATTTATGAAATTTTTATATTCAATACTTTTTTTTTAAGAGAATTAGAAATTAGCTATAACTTTACAGGATAAATACGTATACACGTAGATTGTAATAAAAGCATAAATCATAGGGGAATCATATAGGAAAATACTAAAAAATTATTTATTATGATATGAGTATAACGAAATATTAAAAAATAACAACAGTATGTGACCAGATATGTGTGGTTACCTTAAAAAACATCCTAAAATAAGTAGAATGTTTAATATAATATAATCTAATTATATTTAACGATATAAAGGGCAACTGTTTTAAAAATATCATAATTCATATGTAAGTAAATATTATATATGGAAAAAATATTTAAAAACACAGCAAAAAATATTAAATTTAACATTTATAAAATATTGTGATATTTTAAAATATTTCATTGCTTTTTTATATTATATTAGTATAGTATTTTTTTATTCACAAAACAAAAAAAAAATGTGCGTTCTTTTTAATCCTTTTTAATCCTTTTTACATAGTAGATACTTCACTGAAATGATTAAAGAAGACGTGTATGTATTATAATAATTCTACACATGAATTAAATTAGGAAAAAAAATATAAATTACCAATTATTTACAACGAAACAAAAAAATGATATAATCATGTTATATATCATAATGTACCTGTCCAAGAAGTAATTAACTTATTTGTAGTGAAGTTTCGAAAAATAGAATAATAAATATGTAAGCATTTAAAATTCATAATATTAAAACGTATACAGAAAATTATGAAAAAAAAATAAAAAAATTTAAAAATAGTCACATATATACGTACGTAATAAATACAAATAAACATATCAATATTACTATTTTATAAAAGTGCAAGATATATATGGGAAAAAATTGAATATAATATATTCAACTAAAATCGAAAATATCAATTTTCATCTTCATTAATATGTAAATATATATTTTCTCTATTTATTTATACTAATATAATGTATTTATACCTAGAGCCTACTTATACATGAATATTACTGTATATTAAAATGGGATATATAGGACATTTATTTATTTTGCTTTTATCTATACTCTATTCAAGAAAGAGATATTTTTTAGATATTAATAGTATTTTTAAATTGAAAATATTAATTTCTATATTGAAAAATTAATATATGCTTCTTATTATAATTACTGCTATACGATTATATAAATACACTATAAGAGAATTTTCGCATATTAATTGTTTAATACTATTTATTTTGGTTTAATTAAATAATTCCAACGCTTAACATATATAATGGTAGAATTAGTCTTTATAATATAAAATATGGTGTCTACTCTTTATAGTATCTTTCCTCCCATTTTTGTACGATTGAAATATATTATAATCTTCATCTATATGATTCCATTTATTTCGTTTTCTTCTTAATGTTCCTTGAGAGCATAAGTTATATTGGGTAAACTAGTTAATAAAAAAAAATATATTTTAATAAATATTATATTAAAATTTTTTTGATAATTATAAAACAAATTTATTTTGTACAACAAATTTGTATACATAATATAATAATTACATTATGCAGAATAAATAAAGTTATTGCAATTAATAATATCACAAGTGTTGTAATTACAATAGGTACACTTATGTTATTTTTTTGGAACAAAGGTAACATTTTATATTTTAATTCTTCAGTACACTCAGTTGTACTTAGTGCATTATATTTATGCCTAACATTTTTTAATTCATTACAAAAATCAGAATAATTATCGGATTCACATGAAACTTTGTATTTCATATAGAGATTAGCGCATTTATTAGCACAGTTGCATTTATCTTTACACGGAGAACTACTATTATTCATTATATTTTTTATATTAGTGTACATGTCATGAAGATCTTTGAGCTTTAACATTTCATCATCTGAAATAGTACTGTAATCACTTTTTACTCCTGTGGTACAATTGGTTAAATCAAGATCTCTGATCAATACTGTATAAAGACTTTTAACCTCACTCACATATTTTTTATAATTATTATTATAATAATATAGCCAATAATACAAATATATGCAACTGGATTTGGTAAAAGTATATTCACTTTCCTGTAGTTTTATAGCATCCCCATAATTTTCCACTTGTTCGCATATTTCATTAACAGAGGAAGCAGAAGTTTGAAATTTTTCTCTTTCTAATGAACTACAATTTCCAGTCTTCACCCTATGGACACTGGTTCTTGCATTATTCATAATAGACTCCAAAGTAGGAAAATCCTTTGCTAATTTATACTAGGAATAAATAAAAATTTATTTAATAAAAAAAATTATAAATTATTAAAATTCTTCATATTAATTTTATAGAAAAATATTATAAAAATGATATTATAATGTAGTTATTTATATTATAATATTTAATATGTACAATATTTTTAGCCATTCTTATATCTTTATATTTCTATATAGAATGCCTCGAAGGAAAAATCATATGTATGGGAATATATATAGAGATTTTAAAAATTAAAATTTATATTCTGAAATAAATAAAACTAGTCATCTTATTTAATTATAGAATTGATATATAAATTTAATGAATATCTTGATTATTAAATTACACACGCTAGAAAATAAATAGCATTCATTGTAATATATAATATACATTTTAATTATTCTAATGAAAGAACATAATTATTTATTGATTGAATTAGAACAAATTAAAAAAAATAGGTTGATTGTAATATTTGATCAAAATATTAAAATTATACAATTTTACTAATTGAATAAATTCAAGAAAAAAATATAATAATATTAAATGCTATTAACATAACTATATCAACAGTAATATTTATTATAACTCATTTACATTTATTTAGTGATATATATGATTTAATTAAACCTTATAAAATATTAGAACACATAATTATTAAAGATATTTTTGTAGTTAACTTAATTCTTTTATATATATATTGATATAAGTTCATTAATATACGTTATCATCATTTGCGTAATATAGATATTAATACTCTTTATTAAAATCAATAATGGATGTAATAACATGTAATACATAGTATATTTTTATATTACAATGATATATGACCTTCTAAAAAAATTATATTTATATTTTTTTATTCAATTCATATATGTGAAACATATTCTTATGCTACAAGAACTAATTTATTAAAAATTTAGGTACTCTCAATAAAACACATATATTAAGGTGATGTATAAATATTAATGATAAATTATTTATGAAATTCGTATTCGTATACTATATTTCACATGTTTATTTACTTTCATTTCTCTAATATTATCAGTTATAATAGAAAAGAAAACAATAAATACATGAAAATTTTGGTTATATAATATATTAAATATATAATATATATTAAGTGAGTATTTTTCAAGAATTAACCACATCTTATAATATTTGAAAAATGCTTTATTTATGAGCATTGTATATATCAAAATTATTCATTATAATTATGCCATACAAAGCATTTTGTATTCATATTATAATAACACACTAAATGTACATTTTATTATGTGAATGAAAAGGAACATTAACATAAAAATTGTTCCTCCTATTTGATCATTCAATAAAAAAAAAATAATAAACTTTTATAAAAAAATTTTTCCTATCCTCATTTTTTCACTAAGAATTTAAAGACATAAAAAAATAATTTTTTAGATTAAGTATATAGAGTTTTTACGCACAATAATATTGTGTAGCAGTTAATTAGCATTTATAAAATTTTTAATTTTTGATAGAAAAATATATTCACTAATAAGAAATAAAAAATATTAATTATATTTACTGATTTCTATCATAAATTTTTCTTTTTTACAATTTAATATATTTTTTATTATTCAAAAATTGTTACTTTTCAATAAAATAATGAATTTATCGGTATAAGTAATATATGACTTTTATTAGTAATTCTACATATATATTAAGGAATTCATTTACTATATGTTAATGTTTTCCTTAGTTACATATTTATAGCACAGTCAACGAACATTTTACATTAAAGTAAATACTATTACGAATATGAGTCTATAAAAATAGTCTCTTGATAAATATTAAATTAATTTATTACAATATAACTGAATTTTTTATAACAGAGAAATATATTTATAAATTAGAATTTCTTTCATGATAAATTTCTTAATCAAAAATATAATTAATTATCATGATTAATATGTAACTTATTTTATTTCTAAAATTAATGCTGAAAACAATTAATTAAAAGAACTATTTTATATGAACTCTATATATAATAAGAAGCTTGTACATAAATATGACACCGTAAGTGAACAATATATGTTCTTTAAAAAAATGTGAATCTTCTTATATAGGATTGCTTGTATTACATATATATGAGTTTATTAAATTGAACAAATGAGACAAGCTTCTTAAATAAAAAGTATATGAGCTATGTATAATATTACATATATGAAAAGAAGCAACCTATTGTCTATATACATATACACAAATGAGAAGATTCATCGTTCAATTTTTATAAGAAATTTGATAAATCTCTAGGTTTAGCGTTTAAGTTTAAGTTTTCGTGTTTAGGTTTAAGGTTTAGATGTTCAGGGTTTAGGGTGTAGACTTTCTGGATATAATATTTAGATTTTTATGGTTTAATTTTCCTTCTTTTTTGTTTATGTTTTCATTATACACGTCTTTTTAGTTCTCAGGGTTTATGTTTTAGTTTTACTAATTCTGATTTTAATGCTTAGCGTTTATATATTGGGTTTAATTTTTATGTTATTTATTGTTTTGTGTTCATTGTTCATAGACAGTTTTTTTGATTTATGCTTATTTTTCATTCTTTATTTTGGAGTTAAGTTATCTTTTTATTTTTTGATGTTTTATTTTTTATGTTTTATAGTTCTGATTATGTTTCTATATTACAAATTATACTATAGGAATAAATCATATTTATTGTTGTCATTTTTTTATGTTTCATGTATTTTTATTAATGTTTGAATGATTTTTATAATCATGAATTACATTTTTTCAATAATGATTTATTGAATAGCGCTAATATTATAGTTCCCATTTATGCTCATTTAAATATAAAATAGACATTCCATATAATTTATACTATACATTAAATTATTTTTATTATGTTAATATGAATTTTTAATCTTATGTTTATATATTTTTTTATATATATGTATCGTAATTTATTATTTTTATAATACATTCTTATTAGATTTATTGCACGATAAATCTCATTTTATTATAATTTTGTCTATAGAATTGTTTATATATATATGTATAATTTATTCCTTATAATATTTGTTATATACACCATGTGTATAGTATTTTTTTGTTTATTAATCATTGTTTTTATTTCTATAACTTCATATAAACATTTAATGAAAACATAATCGTATAACAATATAATTATATATTCCTTATAACAATGAATTTAGAGCTACTTTTATTTAAAGAACACATTACACCTAATTTTATATCGTATATTTTGTCATATATATCTATTCATTCATATAATTCCGTTTTTAATACAATTAAAATTATATTTTTTTAATATTATCTATCACAGTATGTGTATATGAAATAAAATATATTTATAATATATGCTATATTGTAAAAACAAAAAAGAACATATAATAAAAATTTTTTTCTCATTTCATAATACAAAATATGATGTATATATTTTATGTAGTAATAAAATGATATTTTCATAAATTGTTAATTAATTTAAATTGGACACATAATAAATGTCCACTTAATGAATGTATCACAAATGTAATTTATAATAATAATGTGTAATTCATATTTATATTTTAAAAAAATGATTCCACTAAAAGATTATTTTATCCTCTAATAAATCTCAAAACGCTATTAAATGATTTATTGGATAAATTATTAATGTATAAATCTAAATTATACAATTATTGAAAAAATTTAAATCTGTTTTATTAGCTAATTACATAATATATACATAAAATAAATAATACGACAATTCATTTTTATAAATATGCTTATACGCAAAATAATATGGTTTTTTAGAATAAATAATGAAATAAATTACAAAATCAAGTATATTTTATAGCATTAATTGTAAATTACTAATGAAATATATGAATTAAAAACAAATATAATTGCTTAATGATAAATATATATTATTTAAAATAATGTATATCAAATTTCCTATATTTAAAATAATATTATATTTATACTATTAGACAATATAAATATATCATACTTCAAACACAGTTTTCAAACAATAAAAAAAATAACAAATCAGAATATATATATAGGAATATATATTTTCTATTCCTTATAAAATAAATTATTATTAATGTTATTCTCCTTATAATTAACAAAAATAATATAAAATATATAAAATTTCCTAATTCATCAAAACAACTGACGGTATACATACTATTTAATAAAAATATAAAAAAATATATATATATTATTAAATGTAATACAAATATATAAAAGAGATATTTTTATTCCAACACCAAACCATAAGAAAAAATATTAAATATGTAAAAAAAATCCTGAAAATAAATATAAATATAAAAATTTAATCGTATATATAAAATCATAAATCCTAACCCATTTTACATACAATTATGTATTTGAAGAAATGAGCGTAATGTAACATACAAATGTTTAGAACAACACTGAATTATATATATAAATATATTATATATTATTTAAAAACCTTGTTCTATTTAGAACATTAAGTAATATTTAATTTATTACAATAATATTGTTAATTATTATATCAACAAATATAATATAGCGTGAATTATAAGAAATATTTTTGTACAAAAATAATTTATCTGAAATTCTAAAAATACATAATAACACTCAATATCCTTAAAGATAAATTACATTGAAACTCTTTAATAAATATTAATAGTATAACGCAGATACATATTATGTCGTAACATATAACTTATATTTTGAAGTTCAAAAAGTGCTTATTTTAAGGAATATTTAATATTTTATTTACTAAACCATATTAAGCAATTTACTTATATATATTGAGAATTTACATACTTTTAAATCCACAATTTAGTACATAAATATATTTAGGACATATGTTTGTTTCATACTGTTATATTTATTTTATTTGTATTAGGATATATATTAATAAAATCTATATAATAAAATTTATTATTTATAATTAGGTATTCAGCTTACCCATTTTAACGCTCAGCTTAATAATAAATAAATATACGAAAACCGAAGTAGAGATTTAATAGGAATAAACATTTTTTAATATTTTAATAAAAAATATAATATAAAAAAAACAAATAAAAAAAAAATTCATATATGTTATTGTTATATATAAAAACTCAATATGGGAAAAACTAATTTTATGATAAATGATATACGTGTATTTATAAGTTAGAAAATGCATCTTTTTATATAAATTTTATAGTATA